TTCTTCAACCACAATGTTAAGTTTTGACCCTAAAATTTTTGTGGAAGAAGATCAGGTCATAGATATTGTTCCACAAACTAAATTCTTGGGTCTCATGGTAAACAGTTCACTGAACTGGAATGATCATGTAAATTTCCTTAGTACAAAATTATCAAGGTCAGTTTTTATATTAAGAAGATTTGGTAAGGTATGTTCTATTAAAACTTTCAAAACGACTTTGGAACCATCTACCAAATCAATTTCAGAATTTCCCTCTTAATATATTTAAAAAGAGGTTGAAGAAAGTTTTAATTAAGCTCTGTTTGTTCACAATAGATGAATTTTGGCTAGTGACTGAAGATGAATTTAATATACTAATTATAGAATGTTAGAATATGTTAAGGTGAAGAAGTTAAATTGTCTTAAATTATGTTTATGTTTAGGATTAATTGACGAGTTAGGAGATACTAATGTACCACGTCCACATTATGTATTTTACTAACAATAAAGTTCTTGTATCTTGTATACGTGAAATTTGTATAAATCAAAATTTATTGTAAAAATCCCTCACAATATAATGATGATAGGTGTAAAGAAAATTTAAATTCATATTATAAAAGTAATAAAGCTCATTAACTAGGAATATCCCCAAAAACCTGTGTTTTACCTCAAAAAAGCAACACAAATAATGGGATCTAAGTTTCTAAGTTAATTTCCATTAAACCTTAAAGCGAGGCCTGACAACGACAGGATTTAAACTATTGATCTCCTAGCCAGAGATCTTACACTCCTTAGAACTTAGCCCTTTGATGAGACCTAACTGTCTGCCACACAAAAAATATTATAGTCAGGTTGGGTAGCAGGAAAATATTTCAGTTCTGGCGGAGAGGCTGTAATTTTAGGTGGTTATGGTACACAAGTTTCTTAACCTTAAAACTGCCCAGACCCCAATTTTTAAGGACCTGGGTCGTCCGTAATGACGTCATCAAAATGGCGGCCACAAGAGGATGCTGGGTCCCCATGAATTGGCTATAGCGACCGAATGCCTGAACCGATTTTCATGAAATTTGGCACACAAGTGCTTGAATACATTATCTCGGCCTGGGTTGAAAATGGTCAAGTTACATAAAGTCATTTCAAAATGGCGGATCCAAGATGGCGGCTGAAAAAAAATACATCCGTCATAACCAAGTGAAAATAAGTCAACAATGAATGGTGGTGTCCACATATCTTTATCTAGCACTATTTTGAGATTATGGCCTTAGTTTGTAAATGCACAATGTTATAATGGACTAAAAATAAAGTTATAAAATGTTCTTATAACTTTAGAATGGATCAACATTTTATAAAACGGATTGCAGCATCGTATTCAGCGTAAAAGTTTTGTTTGAAACGGTGGGTCACAACCCTATCTTTATATTTAAAAAATAACTTTGTATCCAATTGGCGGATCCAAGATGGCGGCCAAAAATTTAAACCCAGTCAAAATGAAGTACTTGCTACTCTACAATGATCTGACGTGGTTCGGAGTTGATATCTTAAGAAATGTATAAAAAAGTAGGTGGGAACTCATTAAAAACTCACCCTGTATAAAACAATTCACAATTATTTTCCACATATTTTTTTAGTTTTGAATAGCCGCCATTTTGAAATGACTTGATGAAACTTGACCATTTTCAACCCAGGCCAAGATAATGTATTCAAGCACTTGTGTGCCAAATTTCATGAAAATCGGTTCAGGCATTCGGTCGCTATAGCCAATTCATGCGGACCCATCATCCTCTTACGGCCGCCATTTTGATGACGTCATTACGGACGATCAGTGTAGGTTGTCAGGCCCGGTCTGGCTCGATTGGAGGCCCTCGGCTGGATGATAATTTGAGGCCCACTCCACCAGAAATAAAACGACAATTGTTAGCCAAAGTGAGACGAATTATTTGACACCTCAAACGGTAAAATCGGTCCAGAAATAACTGAGGAGTTTTGTTCACAAAAATAGCCCTCACGTATTAATATAAGAGATATGAATAGAATTTGGATTTGGTCACGCAACTGAAAAGTATAATCTTAAATAAAGTTTTGGGAGTCATTTTGTATTTCATGATGGGTAGCCTCTGGACCATACAGCAACAATAATAATGGTTTAATTTACCTCTATCAATATGGTCCTAGCGTAGTTTGTCACTACTGCAGTTTCGTGCTCGTGGAGCACATCATCAGGTAAAGGTCACAAAAAGTTAAAACATTTTCCTTACGTGAAGGTCGTCAATTTAACACACCGAAAAAACACATAACACACGAACGGTACGAAAAAACATTTAAACTTGGCCAATACATTAAAGACGTTGCACACGGGGTCTGGCGCCGGTAGAAGGCAAGTCATGACTGACGTGTGTTGTAGTCGGTAGCCCCCCCGTCCTCACTTCTCTTATCAGAACCTTTTCTTTGGTCTTGTTCCAGGATGTGAATGGCGGTATTATAAATAATGTTTGACTGGAATGAGAGTTGTTTGTTTAAAATATGGTTTGGATGTACTTTAGCTGCTCGGTAAATCTCAAATTCTTCGATGGTGTCCATGTATTTACTTTTATGACAAGTATGCATTACTTCTAAATTTGTTTGTATATCGGTATAACTATGGTTTGAATCAATGATATGGTTGGCAAAAGCTGATTTGGAGTTCTTTCTTGGTAAATGTTCCTTAAATCTAGTTGCAAAAGAGCGTGATGTTTGCCCAATATAAAAACTGGAGCAATCATTACATGTTATTTTATACACTCCAGTGTTGTTTAATTTGTCGCTATTGCGACATATGACAATAGCGACAAATTAAACAACACTGGAGTGTATAAAATAACATGTAATGATTGCTCCAGTTTTTATATTGGGCAAACATCACGCTCTTTTGCAACTAGATTTAAGGAACATTTACCAATAAAGAACTCCAAATCAGCTTTTGCCAACCATATCATTGATTCAAACCATAGTTATACCGATATACAAACAAATTTAGAAGTAATGCATACTTGTCATAAAAGTAAATACATGGACACCATCGAAGAATTTGAGATTTACCGAGCAGCTAAAGTACATCCAAACCATATTTTAAACGAACAACTATCACCATATTTTAAAACTCATTCCAGTCAAACATTATTTATAATACCGCCATTCACATCCTGGAACAAGACCAAAGAAAAGGTTCTGATAAGAGAAGTGAGGAAGGGGGGGCTACCGACTACAACACACGTCAGTCATGACTTGCCTTCTACCGGCGCCGGACCCCGTGTGTAGCGTCTTTAATGTATTGGCCAAGTTTAAATGTTTTTTCGTACCGTTCGTGTGTTATGTGTTTTTTCGGTGTGTTAAATTGACGACCTTCACGTAAGGAAAATGTTTTAACTTTTTGTGACCTTCACCTGATGATGTGCTCCACGAGCACAAAACTGCAGTAGTGACAAACTACGCTAGGAACATATTGACAGAGGTAAATTAAACCATTATTATCATTTTGTATATTTTGAAAGGAAAAGATTTTCCACACTTGTAACAAAGTTTATTGCTATGAATTAAAACAATGTCTGTTATAATTTCTTTATGATGTTTAAGATTTCTCACACATAGTTTGCTATTGCAAGGTTTCATTCATGTATGAACCCGTGTATGTTTCGTCAAAATGCTTTTTGATGCATATGATTTTCCACATGTATTGCATTTATAAGGTTTCTCTTTTATATGTACCCATGTATGTGACTTCAAATTGGCTTTGGATGTAAAGGATTTTCCACATTTACTGCATGTGAAAGATCTTTCTCCTGTATGGACGTCTTGTGTATGTCGTATCAAATTGCTTTGGAGTGAAAAGGACATTCCACAATTAGAACACTTATGAGGTTTCTCTCCTGTATGAGTCAGTATATGTGAGTTCAAACCTATTTTGTGATGAAATGACTTTCCACATGTAGTGCAAATATGACATTTCTCTTTTTCATGAACCCGAGTATGTGTCTTCAAATTGTGTTTGTGTACAAAGAATTTTTCACATTTAGTGCACTCATAAGGTCCCTCTCCTGTATGGACTCGAGTATGACAATTCAAATTTCTTCTGGTTGTAAAGGATTTTTCACATTTAGTGCACTTATAAGGTTTTACTCCTGTATGGACTTGTGTGTGTTTCTTCAAATGGTCTTTGGATGGAAAGGACTTTCCACATGTAGTGCATATATAAGGTCTCTCTTCTGAATGGACCCGTTTATGTGACTTTAAATTGCCTGGGAATGAAAAGGATTTTCCACATGTAGTGCACTTATAAGGTCTCTCTTTGGTATGAATCCTTGAATGTAACTTCAAATGGCCTTGGAATGAAAAGGCTTTTCCACAAGTAGTGCACTTATAAGGTCTCTCTCCTGTATGAACCTTTGTATGTGACTCCAAATGGCTTTTGCATAAAAAGGATTTTCCACATGTAGTGCACTTATGAGGTCTAGGTTTCGTTCCCGTATGGATCCGTGAATGTACCGTCAAATAGTCCTTGCGTAAAAAGGATGTTCCACATACAGTGCACTTATAAGGTCTTTCTTCTGTATGAACCCGTGTATGTGACTTCAAATTGCATTTGAATACAAATGACTTTCCACATGTTGTGCACTTATATCTTTTCCTTTCTGTATGAATAAACAATGTATGTGACCTTAAATTTATTTTGGATGTAAAGCCTTTTCCACATAAACTGCACTTATAAGGACGCTTTCCTGAGTGTGTCAACACATGACTCTTTACTTGATATTGGTGGATGAAGGTTTTGTCACATGTCAAACATTTATAGGGGCGCTCGCCTGTGTGACAAAATATATGATACTTCATATTTCTTAGAACTGAAATAACTTTTCCACATATTGGACACTTAGCCTTTTCAGTCTGTTTTAACATTTGTAACCTTTCACTTTATGTTCTTGTGAAACTTTTTAGATAATCTTATGCCATGATAATCAGAAGGGTCAATTAATCAATAAGCCTAGTACCTCTATTTTTGAATTTCCTTTTTTTGTAGGACTTGTTAAATGTCTTGCAGTTACATGAATACTGGGCTCATCTATCGATACTTCTGAAAAAGATCATACTATATTAACACATAATTTAGGTGAAATAATGATTACACAGTATTTTAACAAGCCCTACTAGTTGATGAAAATTCTAAAACTATACAGGGTGCGTCAAAAAAACCGATCTTTTTTATGTAGCACACTGATCATTAACAGGTTGTCTTAGAGTGGTGGTTTTAGGCTCATTGGAATGCCTACACGATGACTTTATCTGTGGTCATAGAGCGGTGGTCACCTGAGCATCGTGCATTTGTTAGCGGGTTAAATTTAATAAGTTATGATTCAGTCATTGCAAGCGGCAGTTAGGTGCATTATTTTTAAATTAGGGCCACGTCGATTCCATTAAGTGGTACAATCATGTGGTGGGTTACAACTTTAGAACAATGGCTTCTGCATTCAAAAAGAAACTGACAAGCCATCTAAAGTCAGATGGGGTGTCAGACAACTAACATTTGATAGAGTCCGTGCTGCTGTGGAAAACAGTCCTCGTGGGCCTGCTTGAAAACAAACATCTGCTTTGAATATGTCTGACTGCTCAGTTACACTAATTTTGAGGTTTGATCTTAATTCTTGTCCCTACAGATTAATGTTTATTATTCTGTTCAATTTTTTTGATTATTCATACAGATAATCACACCATAACCTCTCCATGTCAACCTAATTTAAAGAATGGATGGAAATGCTGCTGAGTTGCAATGACTGAATCATTACTTTTTTTAAAGACTCGATAACAAACGTGTGTTGCTCAGATGACCACTGCTCTATGACTACAGATAATGGCATCGTACAGGCTTTCCAACAAGCCACCACCCTCTGACGACCTGTCGATGAACAGTGGGCTGCAAAAAATAGATCGGTTTTTTGTCGCACCCTATATTAGTGCACAAAATTGAATTAAGTGACCTGAAGAAGTAAAATTTTCCTGATTTTCAGCACAAGTCTTCTTCAGTACTTCAGTACAAGTCAATACAAGTCTTTCAATATTTCACCACATTATTTGTAATGAGACTTACATGGTTAAAATAAAATCACTAGTTTTGCTTTACACCTCAAAGTAATTATTTGCCCTCATCACAATCAATTTATGAAAAGAAAACTGGCTTTTACAAAGTGTGTTGTATCCATATATAGATCCTAAAGTACCCATGAACTTTTGAGAAAACTTAAAGTCACACCCCCATGAACCATATACTTAAAATGTTTGCCATGACAAAAATCCTTGCGCAAAACCATCCATTATTTCATAAATTGCCCTTTAAGGTCGTAATTCCTTTCTAAAGGGAATGTTCCTTATACCTAATGTTAAAAATACCTCACCTATCATTTTAATGGTTTAAAATATAAATTTTTTGCATTTTAGGGTCATTTCCGAACCTTTAAGACAAGTAAAAATTTAAGATAATGATTTATATTCCCCACTGCAAGCACCCTTGAATCGCTAAAGTTGTACACCATTCCTTGAAGTTCATTGTTGGTGATGGTGAGTTAATGTTGTTCAAAGGTTTATTGCGGACATTTTCCATCACGATGGTAAAAAACAATACACATGTTTCGGGATCTGGAATATGATCTGCCGTCCTCAGGTGAAAAACTTAACTAACACATTACACCTAACAATACACAAACGCCAGACCTAAGTTGGAATACACTACAGTCAAAACACTGCAGTCAAAAAATATCCACTGTATAGCAGTCAAGTCATGATACAATAACATGTAAATAATAACCAATCACAAAACGTTATAGTCTATAAAATGTGTAGAGTAAACAGCTCGCACAATGGAATACTAATCGCAGGGCCGTCCGAAAGGGGGGGCAACCGGGGCAAGCTGCCCCGGGCGCCGCGGCTGGGGGGGCGCCGCGACTAAGGGGGCGCCGCGCAGCGGCTACTGGTATCAAACGCACGGGTCCCGAAATTTCGGGAAAAAATATTCTCAATTTTTGGGACGGGATTTAATTTGATTCTGGAACTTTTCGGGACGGGATTTGATCCGATCATCGGCAATTTTGACGCTTCGCGAGTGAAAATGACGCTGCTATCGCGAGAGATGTTCGCGGTAATTCCACGAACGCAGGAGCCGAAGTCATTTCGACGATCGCACCGTGACCGCAAGTCATTTGGACGATCGCGCCGTGACCGCGAGTAATACCGACGATTTCACCGTGACCGCGAGTCATATATACCGACGATTCCGCCATGACCGCGAGTCATACCGACGATTCCGCCGTGACCGCGAGTCATACCGACGATTTCACCGTGACCGCGAGTCATATATACCGACGATTCCGCCATGACCGCGAGTCATACCGACGATTCTGCCGTGACCGCGAGTCATACCGATGATAACGCCGTGACCGCGAGTCATATCGATGATAACGCCGTGACCGCGAGTCATACCGACGATCACCCTGTGATCGCGAGATATTTCGACCGCGAGTCACAAGTTTCCATGCCTGTAAATTTTTGCCATAAATGGTAAAATTGATTTTGTTTGTCTTTTTTGTAACTGCAATACTCAAGACTTTCTTTTTATGCACAGGAAAAATCCCGTCTCGTCCCGTCCCGAATTAAAAATTCAATCCCGTCTATCCCTCATTAACATAGTATTAAAATATGTGAATGCGACTATTACTGGGGGGGGGGGGGGGGGCGCCACGACCACATTTGCCCCGGGCGCCGCTAACCCTAGGGACGGCCCTGAATCGCACAGTTCGCAATGACTCCACCAATGAGACTGAAGCATCATGGTCGACCAATCCGAAACACGGAGACAACGGTTGAGTTCAGACCACTGTGGCTAATGTGTTAGTACAGTTTTTTTCACCTGAGGACGGGATCAGATTCCAGATCTCAAAAAGTTGTACATTGTTCCTTACCATCATGATGGAAAATGTCCACAATAAACCTTTGAACAACATTGTACACCATATTTTAAGGGGTATTTTTCCCTTTCAGTTTATTTTGTTTATAAGAGGAGATATTTATTTTTGTAAAGAAGTTAGTTTTTATTTTTTTTTTTTTAGAATAAACGTTTTATTTTGTTTCTTGTCTTTAATTATTCCTAAGGCCATAAACCCAATTGTTTAGTTAGAATTAGGATTATTATTTATTCAAATTATTCTGGTATTATTGGTACATATCAATGGAAGTTTAGTTGAATTGTTTGAGTGGCAATCCCATCAGTCTTAGAAAGAGAGACAGAAATACAGAGTAAGAAGTAAACATTGAGGTAGCGGCTGAGCTTATCAGCTGTTAGGGCAAAGGTCGTGAGGCAACACAACTGGGCTGCCGAGCCTAAATCGCCCCTACACGCTCTTCCACTGGAAGGTCCTATATAAGCAGGTTCATTTGGACACTACCAGTGGATGTTGGACATTGGACAGCTCATAAGGTAGGTACCGTCGTGGCTATACCGTGACGTTAAGCATAAGCGTGACTCAATAAGTTGTGCTTATAGTAAGTCAGTCTTAGGCCCGAGGTGGATAGTGTCAGAAAGTAGAAGCTCGGGGTTGTTAGGCATACTAATCAACCCCATGTTAGTATAGTTTGTTCTGCCCAAGTTATAACTCTTGATAACTCTCTTGATAACTCTTGATAAGTTATAACTCTTCGATGGGTTGGTTTAGAAGGTAGGTACCTTGAGGGAATCCTCACGGTGAAGCTCGGCTGCTTGGAGGGGACATACCCTCCCACAGCAACGAGAAGGTAGTTACCGTGAGAGAATACCTGGTGGCGGAGTTATGCTGATTGGAGGGGCTATACCCTGGCACAGCAAATTGTGTTCAACCGGATTTGGACTATGGAACGAGGTAAGTGCCATCTCGTGACCAAGCAAAAATTTAATAATAAAGACCAAATGTTCATAGTTCAAATTCGATATCTTGAGGTGGACGATGATGAGTCCATTGTAGGCGTACTTGGTTGCTACGGACTGAGCTTAAACCTTGAGATATATAGGGAAATCGAGATTTAGGCTAACTATACCATAAATTTTTGAAAAAATTATTCACAGAAGATTTTTAAGTTTTTTTGAAAAGAAAAATATTATCAACAAAAGTTAGCACGGTTTTCGTGAAGGTAAATCAACAATAAACGGCAATTCCCAATTTCCTCGAGATTATTATTGAGGCATTAGAAAAAAACAACTACACCTTTGGGGTATTTTTGGATCTCCAGAAAATTTTGACTGTGTGAACCCAAACATCCTCTTTGATAAGCTGGAAAATTATGGAATTAGAGGCTCCGCGTTGAGTTAGTAAAGTCCTACATGCTAAATAGAAAACAGTTTGTTTCAATCAAACATAACGATAAAGATTTCTTTTCTAACCACATAGAGGTGAAACTTGGGGTTCCTCAGGGTTCAGTCCTGGGGCCTCAATTATTTTTAATTTACGTTAATGACATAAATAGTGACGCCACTGGCAAAATTATAACATACGCAGATGACACTTCTTTAATTTTAAATCATTCAAACTTAAATACTTTGGAAATCTCTACAAATGTATTTACAACTGGCATAATCCAATATTTTAATGAAAATCGTTTATCAGTAAATATGGATAAGACAGCTTTTTTTAATTCTTCAACCACAATGTTAAGTTTTGACCCTAACATTTTTGTGGAAGAAGATCAGGTCATAGATATTGTTCCACAAACTAAATTCTTGGGTCTCATGGTAAACAGTTCACTGAACTGGAATGATCATGTAAATTTCCTTAGTACAAAATTATCAAGGTCAGTTTTTATATTAAGAAGATTTGGTAAGGTATGTTCTATTAAAACTTTCAAAACGACTTTGGAACCATCTACCAAATCAATTTCAGAATTTCCCTCTTAATATATTTAAAAAGAGGTTGAAGAAAGTTTTAATTAAGCTCTGTTTGTTCACAATAGATGAATTTTGGCTAGTGACTGAAGATGAATTTAATATACTAATTATAGAATGTTAGAATATGTTAAGGTGAAGAAGTTAAATTGTGTTAAATTATGTTTATGTTTAGGATTAATTGACGAGTTAGGAGATACTAATGTACCACATTATGTATTTTACTAACAATAAAGTTCTTGTATCTTGTATACGTGAAATTTGTATAAATCAAAATTTATTGTAAAAATCCCTCACAATATAATGATGATAGGTGTAAAGAAAATTTAAATTCATATTATAAAAGTAATAAAGCTCATTAACTAGGAATATCCCCAAAAACCTGTGTTTTACCTCAAAAAAGCAACACAAATAATGGGATCTAAGTTTCTAAGTAAATTTCCATTAAACCTTAAAGCGAGGCCTGACAACGACAGGATTTAAACTATTGATCTCCTAGCCAGAGATCTTACACTCCTTAGAACTCCTTTGATGAGACCTAACTGTCTGCCACACAAAAAATATTATAGTCAGGTTGGGTAGCAGGAAAATATTTCAGTTCTGGCGGAGAGGCTGTAATTTTAGGTGGTTATGGTACACAAGTTTCTGAACCTAAAACCGCCCAGACCCCAATTTTTAAGGACCTCGGTCGTCCGTAATGACGTCATCAAAATGGCGGCCACAAGAGGATGCTGGGTCCCCATGAATTGGCTATAGCGACCGAATGCCTGAACCGATTTTCATGAAATTTGGCACACAAGTGCTTGAATACATTATCTCGGCCTGGGTTGAAAATGGTCAAGTTACATAAAGTCATTTCAAAATGGCGGATCCAAGATGGCGGCTGAAAAAAAATACATCCGTCATAACCAAGTGAAAATAAGTCAACAATGAATGGTGGTGTCCACATATCTTTATCTAGCACTATTTTGAGATTATGGCCTTAGTTTGTAAATGCACAATGTTATAATGGACTAAAAATAAAATTATAAAATGTTCTTATAACTTTAGAATGGATCAACATTTTATAAAACGGATTGCAGCATCGTATTCAGCGTAAAAGTTTTGTTTGAAACGGTGGGTCACAACCCTATCTTTATATTTGAAAAATAACTTTGTATCCAATTGGCGGATCCAAGATGGCGGCCAAAAATTTAAACCCAGTCAAAATGAAGTACTTGCTACTCTACAATGATCTGACGTGGTTCGGAGTTGATATCTTAAGAAATGTATAAAAAAGTAGGTGGGAACTCATTAAAAACTCACCCTGTATAAAACAATTCACAATTATTTTCCACATATTTTTTTAGTTTTGAATAGCCGCCATTTTGAAATGACTTGATGAAACTTGACCATTTTCAACCCAGGCCAAGATAATGTATTCAAGCACTTGTGTGCCAAATTTCATGAAAATCGGTTCAGGCATTTGGTCGCTATAGCCAATTCATGCGGACCCAGCATCCTCTTACGGCCGCCATTTTGATGACGTCATTACGGACGATCAGTGTAGGTTGTCAGGCCCGGTCTGGCTCGATTGGAGGCCCTCGGCTGGATGGTAATTTGAGGCCCACTCCACCAGAAATAAAACAACAATTGTTAGCCAAAGTGAGACAAATTATTTGACACCTCAAACGGTAAAATCGGTCCAGAAATAACTGAGGAGTTTTGTTCACAAAAATAGCCCTCACGTATTAATATAAGAGATATGAATAGAATTTGGATTTGGTCACGCAACTGAAAAGTATAATCTTAAATAAAGTTTTGGGAGTCATTTTGTATTTCATGATGGGTAGCCTCTGGACCATACAGCAACAATAATAATGGTTTAATTTACCTCTATCAATATGGTCCTAGCGTAGTTTGTCACTACTGCAGTTTCGTGCTCGTGGAGCACATCATCAGGTAAAGGTCACAAAAAGTTAAAACATTTTCCTTACGTGAAGGTCGTCAATTTAACACACCGAAAAAACACATAACACACGAACGGTACGAAAAAACATTTAAACTTGGCCAATGGACCTATGGCCTATGGACCCGTGTATGACAATTCAAATTTCTTCTGGTTGTAAAGGATTTTTCACATTTAGTGCACCTATAAGGTTTCACTCCTGTATGGACTTGTGTGTGTTTCTTCAAATGGTTTTTGGATGGAAAGGACTTTCCACAAGTAGTGCACTTATAAGGTCTATCTTCTGAATGGACCCGTGTATGTGACCTCAAACCGTCTGGGGATGTAAAGGATTTTCCACAAGTAGTGCACTTATAAGGTCTCTCTTCTGAATGGACCCGTGTATGTGATCTCAAATTGCCTGGGAATGAAAAGGATTTTCCACAAGTAGTGCAGTTATAAGGTCTCTCTCCTGTATGAACCTTTGTATGTGACTCCAAATGGCTTTTGCATAAAAAGGATTTTCCACATGTAGAGCACTTATAAGGTCTAGGTTTTTTTGCTGTATGGAACCGTGTATGTGAATTCAAATATCTTTTGTATTTAAAGGTTATTCCACATATAGTGCACTTATAAGGTCTTTCTTCTGTATGAACCTGTATATGTGACTTCAAATTGCATTTAAATACAAAGGATTTTCCGCATATAGTGCACTTTCCTTTCTGTATGAATAAACAATGTATGTGACTTTAAAAGTATTTTGGATGTAAAGCCTTTTCCACATAAACTGCACTTATAAGGACACTTTCCTGAGTGTGTCAACACATGACTCTTTACTTGATATTGGTAGATGAATGTTTTGTCACATGACAAACATTTATAGGGCCGCTCGCCTGTGTGACAAAATATATGATACTTCATATTTCTTGGACCTGAAATAACTTTTCCACATATTGGACACTTAGTAGGAACCTTTATGGTTTGTTTTAACATTGGTAATCTTCCAATTTCTGTTTTTGTAAAACTTTTTAGATAAGCTTATACCATGATAATAAGAAGGGTTAACTAATCAAAAAGCCTTCTACCTCTATTTATGAATCTCCTTTTTTTGTAGGACTTGCAGTTACATGAATACTGGACTCATCTGTTGATAATTCTGAAAAAGATCATACTATGTCAACACATTAATTTAGGTCAAATAATGATTACAATAGTTATTTGTGTAACTAGTGAGCAAAGTGGCACTTTGCTGCACATGAGAGCAACGTTTAAGCACGAGCCGCAGGCGAGTGCGGAATAATCTCGAGTGCAGCAAAGGCCTTTTGCACTCGTGTTACACATATTTTTCCTACAGTCACTATAAAGCATATAAATAATTATTCTTTCAAACACTATACAACACGTTTTTAGATTCAGCTGGTAACACAAATAGGTGCCCTAAAGAAAGTAGTCCCCGGTCCGTATCACTCTGCTATTTTTTCCTACGCAAGTGATGTGCTCCGCGACTTGAGGAAATAGTTTCGTATATTTTTGTAATTTGCAGTGGTTTCTGCGCCTAAAAAAATGCTTTAAAGGAATTTTCTTGTTTATTAAGATCGTAGGAATGTTTTAAAAACGTTTAAAATAAAAGTCCAGAAAGTTCAGAAATACCGAAAAGAGAACATAAACTATAAACACGAAATTACAGGTTAAATCGTTGTTATGATAGTCAATAAGCTGCTCGTAGTATTATTATCTTTAAGTGTTGCCAACCTATTTCCAAGCGTACACGGATTCCGTGCATAATAGAACCACACTGTTTTGTGTTGTTTCGTTGGAATCCTGATGTGCGCCAAAGTATAAACCATACGACAAAGTATAAATATGCAGCAAATTAGCAGCTTTCTGTACTATAAACAGTACAAGGAAGCCAACTTTGTTGAGTGACTGTGGGAAAAATATTTTAACAAACCCTACTTGTTTATTAACATCATATTGATTTAAAATTATATTAGTGCACAAAATTGAATTAAGTGACCTGAAAAAGTACAATATTCCTAATTTTTTTAGTCTTTCAATATTCATCACATTATTTGTAACAGGACTTCCATGGTTAAGATAAAATCACTAGTTTTGTTAAACCCCTTAAAGCAATTCATCGCAATCAATGGTCATGTCGCTATTATATGTATACTAACAGTTACCCGGCATGCGTTGCTGCGCTTAACAACTGTTATTTTAAATGGTGATTTGTTCTTTACGATGAATAATAAAAGTGTATATGTACCAAAAATAATAAGAGAACATTTTACTTAATTGCTAGTGGATAAAAAATGTTTTTTGTTTTTACTTTAGGTCATTAGGTGTATAAATATAAAAGTTTTCAGGTGTATCTACCCACCACGTGAGCACGCAACATACAGCTATCTGTGTGAAAAGCATGCATTTTCTAAATTTAAACCGATGATAGTCAGGGATTGGGATTGCCCTAGTGCAATGATGATGGATGAATGGATAATGGTGATTGCAAAATCAAGACGCAAAGGAAATTGTAGTTGCTTAAATTCAGAGGGTAATTTGGATGGAATCATCAGTATTCTTGGGATTAAGACTATTTCTCCTTTAAACTTGCCACTGATAATTTTTGCTTCAATCAATTTTGGTGTCATTTCTTTAATCGTCAGTCTGGTAACGTTGCACAGCTTCAGTAGATTTAAGTTTCACATTAGTATTATTGGAGTTCCTTTTTTAATAGCAGTAATGTGGTGGGTTAATGACCAATTGAGAGGCATTTGAATACCCAAGATAGCATGCACAATTATTATTCGCTTAATAATTTAAGTTAGATTGTGTGGGTATAGCCTAGATAACAAAAGACAAAAATACTAAGGCATTGCCATCCCTTTTAGCGAATTTCCCATATAGGGGAATAAGCTATTACCGTAGTAGTCATGGTAAGACCTGGACCTGGGACCAATTTAATTTTTCATTTTGAGGTCCCTAGAGGCCAAAAACACCATCCGTTCAAATTCATATATATACATATGTGTCCGTTTTTGAAAAAATGATCCGATTTTGATGAATTTGGTACAAACGTGTAAACCTATGTTTATTCGGACGAGTTCGCGATCCAGCATAATCGCCATGGGAACGGGGATTTATGGGGGGTTTTTACCCTAAAAACAAAAATTTTTGCAAGTTCTTTTAAAACCATTTTGTAGAGCTTAAAAAAAGAAATAATTTAGTATATTGAAGCGCTTTTGTATGCCTAAAGGTCACGGAGAAAATTAAAAAATTGTGTAATTTAAAATTCCCATGTTATTCTTATGGAGAAAATAAAAATTTTTGTATTTTATGGATATATATTGATAAAATTTGGCAAATTTATTTATTTCATCCTATACTATTGACATATGGTCAAAAAACACTTTTTACCTTCCCCGTAGCAGCAAACCTAAGCACTTGTTAAATGTAATGTTATTTAAATCTTACTAATATTATAAACTAGCTGTACCCGCGGGCTTTGCCCCGTTTAACTTCTTAATTTTCAAGATGAGCTCGTTCGCATGGCTCTTACGTCCTGGTTGAAGTTCGTTCGCTACGCTCACTCACCTTTAGGTTGGAGCTAGTTCGCTGCGCTCACTTGCCTTCAGGTTAGCTCGTTCGCTACGCTAACTCGCCTCCAGGTTGAAGTTCGTTCGCTACGCTCACTCACCTTTTGGTTGCAAATTAGCTGTTGTCATAAATTTAAAAAAAAAATAGTGCTGCACCCTGTTGGTAACCCTTGTAACTTTAATGCTATTGAACATCATAGAACAGAACCAACTTGTTTAATTGAAACAGCTGATAAGATTCATTAATTCCTTTTAAATATGAAAAATCATAAGGTTAACATGGGAAACTCCAGAGCCACTGGGGCGGAGCCCGAGGGTCCGATCGAACTAAAAACAACTTAGTTTTCCTATTTAATGCCTAAAGAATCGGTGTGCCAAATTTCAGCCTCCTAGGTAAATGGGAAGTGGGAGAATTAGTGATGAGTGAGTGAGTGAGTGTGTCAGTGAGGGCTTTGCCTTTTATAAGTATAGATGAGAAAGTTTGGATGTATGTATGTATGTTTGTGACAAGTAAACGCGAAAAACACAGGTCGGATCGGGCTGAAATTTGGTGTGATGATAGCTCACATTCCCGATTAACATATAGACACATTCTTATCTCAAAAGTCCTTTCGGGCTCCACCCCAGTGGCTCTGCAGTTTCCCATGTTAACCTTATGAGTAATCATATTTAAAAGGAATAAACCAATTTTGTCAGCTGTTTCAACAACACAAGTTGGTTCTATGATAATAAATAGCGTAAAGAAGTTTTAAGGTTTACCACTAAGGGTGCAGCACTATTAAACTTTTTGAATTTTGAACTAACTACCAACAAAAATCAGAGATATACAATAAGAACTTTACTTTAACTATTCTTTAGTTGCAGTGGTAGAACATTATGGCTATAGTAGATGTGCTATGCTATACTATAGCATACCGTAAATTAAAAGAATCAAATTTTCTTAAACCATGTCCTCTCCCATTGCAAATGCAAAGCTAAGTATAACTGCAATAAGCATTTTATACTAATACAGTACGCCATTGCCGTACGAAGAACAGGTACTCTGCTAGTAGGGAATAAATATGTCTTATTTTATTTATGGAAATATTTTAGTAAAAATGTAATCAGACAAGTTGAAATTTTCTCTTAGTCTGCAGGTTTGCTGCGGCGGGGGTATTAGGCCTAGTGTTTATAATGCTTTGATAAAGGTTTTTAGGTTTACATATTTAACATTGGAGAATTTAAACGTTAATGAGTGCACAGGTGCGCTACGATTGGGGTTTAATATATTTAGACTTATTCAAAAGTAAAGTAGTTTTCTGTGCTGCACTCTGTAGAAGCATTGTGGCACTTTTTGAAATCATGACTAGTAGAGAATGTTATGATTATTCAAACCTACAAAACAGTTGGTTAAAGTAAAATCTGCTTTTTAAAATATATTT